TTTAAAAATGTTATCCCAAATCAAGTATTTTCATCAGAAATATTTTTTATGATAATAAATAACAATTTAAATGTAAATCAACCAAGAGGTGGAACTCGTTGGTCATTATTAATCTATGTTAAAGGGCTTAATACATTTTTTCATATACACGTTAACAATTAAAATTAATAGAATGAAATTTAGAGCAATTGTGCTGCATCCTTCAACATCATCAATATTATTGTCTCAATCAATAATATCTTCGTCAACATCATCAACATCAACATCATCAATATTATTGTCTCAATCAATAACATCTTTGTCATCATCTCCTGAATCAACATCAACACCACCTTATCAACCAACACCAGTGGTATTAGAACAAATAAGTAATAAATATAACTGCATATTATGTGGTAAATGGTTGAAATCAAAAATTACATTAAGGAATCATGAAAACAAATATCATAAATTCAACAAAATAATTCCACATTTTTCAGTTTTATCATCATCTAATGATATAGAAGAATTAAAACAATGTATTATAATCAACATTCAAAAAAAACTGGGATTCAATAGACATCATGTTGGTGTTAAGAAATTCATTTTGGAACCTTTCCTGAAAACGTTTTTGCAATGCTTTTTTTTCAAGAAGAAAATTTTTTTTATTATCCTATTAAAAGATACTATATTTGTAAATTTGAAAATATTGAAGGAAGGAATAATTTAAGTATAATATTAAATAATTATAAATGGTGGGAGAAAAAAAACAATGCAACTGGTACAATTTCTTTTGTTGTGATGGAGGATGATGGAGTAGTAAAACCAGAAATCAAATTTCTTTGGAGAGAAATTTTTTTAAATAATATGAAATGTGGATTTTGTAAGGTTGAGTTTAATGTGAATTCTAAATAAAATTTAGTTAATTGAATCAATTGGATTAATATGAATAATTTCTTTTTTGAATGATGAAGGTGTATTATTTTTTAGATAATATAATTGTCTATTCTCAAAATTTAATATTTTATATACAGCTGATTGTTTTTTTTCACCACCACCCATACAAGTAATTCCAAAAAACAAACGAACCTAAAAAAAAAATTTATTAATTAATATAA